TTTGTGCAATAATCCCAAATTTTTTTGTGACTTTTTGAATTTTATTGTTTCGGTTGTTTATCAGGAAGAAGCTAGGTCCTACAAATTTATTGTATAACTTTTATAAAGTAAAGTATTGCGTGATTTGTAATTTTTATTTCCTGTATATGTACTGAAATAATGGTTTTTATTTCAGACAAATAATACTCTGCCTTACAATTAAATTAGGGATACTGGTATTCCGGAGTATGAAGTTCAATTCAAAGACAAGCTTATTACAGATTTAAGTTTATCAAATTGTAAGCAAAAGTGTTCTTGTTTGAAAGGACTAAAATTATATATATCCAAAACAGAGGTGACTCTTAATGCATCTCTTTATAAATATTCCAATCCGACTTGATACACAGATTTTATCTTGATTTTGTCGACCAATACATATTATTAAATTAACATCAGAAAATCCATAGCGTTTCGGGTAAATATGTAGCCAAAAACCATGAAGTAAAATAATTCGTTGGTATTTTAAAATTCAAATTTAAGTTCCAAATTCACAGTACTTTAACAAAGAGTTCAAATCATATATTATGCGGATAATGCATTCCGCAACAACATAGAAGAAGTCCAACTTTCTTATATTATTTTCCCGAAAACATAGCTCACTTACTCAGTTCACCCTTTGCAATCGCAACAAATTTTTGAAACGTGACTCCTTAAGCACATGTGACAATATTTGATAAGAAAATGAACATGAAAGATCTCACGATCATAAAATTAAACATCATGTTAACATATCAACAAAGAAGTCATTCTATCTTTAAAACATGCAATTGAAAACCTATCTGAAATATTATATATTCTCAATCAGAGATGGGGGTAGTGCACTAATTTTTAACTATTACTAATTATTAGGGGTAGTTCAAAATTATTCACTACTTTTATTTATGTTTAGTGATGAATTGAAAAATATAAGCCTCATTCAATAATAGTGATAGTGATATTTAAAATTTTTAACTAAAAATAGTTAAAGTATTTGTTTTTACAGCCTAGTGAAATAATTTTTTCTACACTAAATTATTAGTTCAAAAAATATTCCTGCACTATTTTTTTTTTTCAACAGAGAAATGTTTCACTCATTTGAAAGTTTAAGTTAATAGGACAGTCTAGAAATGGTTTAAGTCAACCAAAAACTCATTGGACGAATATTATTAATAAGTAAAACGTTCATTATTTACAAAGGTTCCAAGCTATCGCCTAAAAAACATCCAGTAACCACATCATTTTGGCAACTGGCAACGCAGATGACGTGGCAATCGAGGTACAAAATTAACCAATTAATTTAATTTTCCGAGGAGAGTTCACCAATCCGCTAAAGAAAACATCGTTATACTTGAGCAGAAGAAGGCAAAAATTTTGTTTTAACCATTTCTTTTTAAAGCATGAGATGTTGTTGGGATAACTGCATATGTAGGGTCTATCATAGTGCCATCGCTAAAAAAAATCTGTATTTTCCATTTTAATAGATGTACCTTTTAAAAAATTGAATCATTTATTGTCTAACAAATTCTTTCATCATCATAAAAAAAATAGTGCAAAGAAAATTATTGAAGCCTTTTGTTAGTGACTGTTCAAATTTTTAACTATTTGAGTGTAGTGCTTTTTTCTACACTACCACTCAATTGAGTTATAGTTAAAAAAATAACAGTCTATAGTCTAGTCTATAGACTAGACTATAGACTAGACTATAGACTAGACTATAGACTAGACTATAGACTAGACTATAGACTAGACTATAGACTAGACTATAGACTAGACTATAGACTAGACTATAGACTAGACTATAGACTAGACTATAGACTAGACTATAGACTAGACTATAGACTAGACTAGACTATAGACTAGACTATAGACTAGACTAGACTAGACTATAGACTAGACTATAGACTAGACTATAGACTAGACTATAGACTAGACTATAGACTAGACTATAGACTAGACTATAGACTAGACTATAGACTAGACTATAGACTAGACTATAGACTAGACTATAGACTAGACTATAGACTAGACTATAGACTAGACTATAGACTAGACTATAGACTAGACTATAGACTAGAGTAGACTATAGACTAGACTATAGATTAGACTATAGACTAGACTATAGACTAGACTACAGACTAGACTATAATACTAGACTATAGACTAGACTATTGACTAGACTAGACTATAAACTAGACTATAAACTAGACTATAGACTAGAGTCTAGACTAGACTATAGACTAGACTATAGACTAGACTATAGACTAGACTAGACTATAGACTAGACTATAGACTAGACTAGACTATAGACTAGACTATAGACTAGACTAGACTATAGACTAGACTATAGACTAGACTATAGACTAGACTATAGACTAGACTATAGACTAGACTATAGACTAGACTATAGACTAGACTATAGACTAGACTATAGACTAGACTATAGACTAGACTATAGACTAGACTATAGACTAGACTATAGACTAGACTATAGACTAGACTATAGACTAGACTATAGACTAGACTATAGACTAGACTATAGACTAGACTATAGACTAGACTATAGACTAGACTATAGACTAGACTATAGACTAGACTATAGACTAGACTATAGACTAGACTATAGACTAGACTATAGACTAGACTATAGACTAGACTATAGACTAGACTATAGACTAGACTATAGACTAGACTATAGACTATAGACTAGACTATATAGACTACTAGACTATTGACTAGACTAGACTATTGACTAGACTATTGACTAGACTAGACTATTGACTAGACTAGACTATAGACTAGACTAGACTAGACTAGACTATAGACTAGACTATAGACTAGACTATAGACTAGACTATAGACTAGACTATAGACTAGACTATAGACTAGACTATAGACTAGACTATAGACTAGACTATAGACTAGACTATAGACTAGACTATAGACTAGACTATAGACTAGACTAGACTATAGACTAGACTATAGACTAGACTATAGACTAGACTATTGACTAGACTAGACTATTGACTAGACTAGACTATTGACTAGACTAGACTATTGACTAGACTAGACTATTGACTAGACTAGACTATAGACTAGACTAGACTAGACTAGACTATAGACTAGACTATAGACTAGACTATAGACTAGACTAGACTATAGACTAGACTATAGACTAGACTAGACTATAGACTAGACTATAGACTAGACTATAGACTAGACTATAGACTAGACTATAGACTAGACTATACACTAGACTATATACTAGACTATAGACTATACTATAGACTATACTATAGATTAGACTATAGACTAGACTATAGACTAGACTATAGACTAGACTATAGACTAGACTATGGACTAGACTATAGACTAGACTATAGACTAGACTATAGACTAGACTATAGACTAGACTATAGACTAGACTATAGACTAGACTATAGACTAGACTATAGACTAGACTATAGACTAGACTATAGACTAGACTATAGACTAGACTATACTAGACTATAGACTAGACTATAGACTAGACTATAGACTAGACTATAGACTAGACTATAGACTAGACTATAGACTAGACTATAGACTAGACTATAGACTAGACTATAGACTAGACTATAGACTAGACTATAGACTAGACTATAGACTAGACTATAGACTAGACTATAGACTAGACTATAGACTAGACTATAGACTAGACTATAGACTAGACTATAGACTAGACTATAGACTAGACTATAGACTAGACTATAGACTAGACTATAGACTAGACTATAGACTAGACTATAGACTAGACTATAGACTAGACTATAGACTAGACTATAGACTAGACTATAGACTAGACTATAGACTAGACTATAGACTAGACTATAGACTAGACTATAGACTAGACTATAGACTAGACTATAGACTAGACTATAGACTAGACTATAGACTAGACTATAGACTAGACTATAGACTAGACTATAGACTAGACTATAGACTAGACTATAGACTAGACTATAGACTAGACTATAGACTAGACTATAGACTAGACTATAGACTAGACTATAGACTAGACTATAGACTAGACTATAGACTAGACTATACACTAGACTATAGACTAGACTATAGACTAGACTATAGACTAGACTATAGACTAGACTATAGACTAGACTATAGACTAGACTATAGACTAGACTATAGACTAGACTATAGACTAGACTATAGACTACACTATCGATTAGACTATATTATAGACCAGTCTATTGACCACTCTTTAGTCGAGTCTATTGAACATTCTATAGTCGAATCTATAGTCTAGTCTATAGACAAATCTATAGTGATGTCTTAAGACCATTCTAAAGTCGGTACTATAGGCTATAGGCCAGTCTCTGCTATATAGTCGTAACAATAGTCGATATCATAAATAGAGCAGACTACAGTTTAAACAAAAATAGCCACTATATGTAATTAAACTGTGGGCAAAATGTATGCAAGTGTAATGTATTAGAAATATACATCCATATGCATGTACATAGGTATAAAATGACATTTGACTCCTGCTGAATTACTACTTATTTCGCAGATATCAATTATGTATGTAGTAGCAGAACAAAGTACAATACCTACTGTTCATTTAAAATCTTTATGACTCAGGGAGTTTATTATTATTTTTTTGTAGAAATATTTAATTTTAATTTTATTATTACTAGGAGCATAATTAATAAACATGTTGATAACATGTTGTTGCACATATAAATAAATACATTATTTTATATAACAAATGTGGTTTTTATCAGCACTTGCACACTATCATATTGTATAGTACATATTCTAATTTCATTGAAGATTAGTGTATAATGATAGCGTTTCCTTTTTTTTTTTTTTGGACAACCAGACATATAAACTATTAGATTCAAGATTGCAGACATAGAAAGTGAATTTAATACAGACGCAGTAAACTTTTGATCTTTTATAATATTTTTTTTTTCTTTTTCTTGCAGATGCTTGCCTAAAGAACTACCACCTATTTGAATATTATTTTAAGTAACAAACTACATTTTAACTCTAAAATATACAAAGAAACCAAGGAAGAGGACTAACGATTTCTGCTGTAAATCGTAATTCCCCGTTAAGAAATTTTAAACTTTTTTTGTTTTACTAAATATACATAAAAAATGTGCTGCAAATGTTGCAGCGTTAACCAGCGTAAAGCTTGGGTTTATGGTTTGGGTACTTTGTTTGCCACTTTGGGTGTAATCCTATTAGTTTTATGGGGCAATTGGGCGGAATCATTAGTACAAAGTGTAAGTATTTAGTCATGCGTTTATTTATTTACACCGGGTTTTTAATTCATGGTTTTTGTTTGTTTTTAAACAGGGTTTAGTTTTGAAAGAAGGCAGTGATGCTTACGACAGTTGGGTGGAGGCACCCATACCTATTTACTTAACATTTTACATGTTTAATTGGACAAATCCCCATGAGGTACGCAATCCTAAGGTTAAGCCACATTTCGTTGAAATGGGTCCTTATGTATTCCTGGAAAAACATTTGAAAGAGAATATAACCTTCTATAACAATGATACGGTTTCGTATTATGAAAGAAAATCCTGGTTTTTCCAACCTGAAATGTCGAATGGTACTTTAGATGATATGTTGACTTCGGGTCATGCTATAACAGCGGTAAGTGGGAATGTTTGCAAAATTTATTTTAAATTTTAATTAATTAAACTCTTTTCTTTTAAACATTACAGACTGTTGCCGATGAAATGCGTCATTCGAATAGATTTTTAAAGAAAATTATTAACTTTATGCTAAACCACGAGGGCGGTAAACTTTATGCCACAAAACGTGTAGGTGATTGGATATTTGATGGTTATCAAGATGATTTAGTAGACTTTTTAAGACTATTCAACACCACCAAAATAAATATACCCTACAGTAAATTTGGTTGGCTGGTAGATCGTAATAATTCCCTAGAATATGATGGTTTATTTACAATCTATACAGGCGTAAAAGATATAACAAAATTGGGTCAACTAACACATTGGAATATGAAAAATGAGACCGGATTTTATGCTCCACCTTGTGGTGTGGTAAATGGCACTACCGGCGATCTCTTTCCACCTCATTTAGATCCTGAGGGTGAAATAACCATATTTGCCACTGATGCCTGTCGTTTTATGAACTTGCAGCCGAATGGTACAATGGAAAAACATGGTTTGAAGGCTATAGAATGGGTGGGTACCGATGAGACTTTGGATTCTGGTGAAAATTTCCCCAATCAACAGTGTTTCTGTGATCCACGTTTGGAAGATTGTCCCAAAACTGGTGTAGTTGAATGTAAAAAATGTCGTGATAATGCTCCCATTTATGCCTCATTTCCACATTTCTATTTGGCCGATGAGTCGTATCTAAATGCAGTGTCTGGTTTAAAACCTGATCCTGAGAAACACAAGTTTATATTGGCAGTGGAACCTATAACTGGATTGCCGGTGGAAATTAATGGCCGCTTGCAGATAAATATGAACATGATAGCCGATAAGGATTATGAGTAAGTTTTAAACTACAGCTATTCAAATCTGCAATACTTTTTAAAACATTTTGTTCCTTTATAATTTTAGTATCTTCCGTGGCATTAATGAGTTCTTAATGCCTCTGTTTTGGTTTGATCAGGCGGCTTACTTAAGTCCTGAATTGGCTAAAAAAGCTAGAGTAAGTTTGTTGTAAACAAATCTTAAGTTTAATAGTAATAATTTAATAATTAATCTTTCTTTTTAGCTGGCTATTCACTTAGAAGATTATGGCCGTTACTTTGCCATTGCCTTAATTTGCTTAGGCGGTGTTTTCTTTGTTACCGGTATTGCCTTGACTCTAACCAAACGTTGGACACGTACCCCTCACGATGATGAAGACATGTTAACTAACTAATTTTGTTTTACTTATAAACATATCTATGTCTTAGCTTTTTTAGTTTAAACAAAAACTTGTAATTTTAGTCCCTTTTTCTATTCATTTATTGTGCCAAATTTTAAGTTTTTTTATACTAATCTATTTGTGTATATATTTTTTCACTACACTCATTATTACTAGTTTATTTTTTGTTCTTTAAAAAAGTTAATATTTTATTGCCTCATTGTGTATTTAAAATTTAGTTTTAAACACTTGACTATTATTTTAATAGTTTAATATTTTAATTTATTTGTTTAAGTTAATTATAAAATTTAACATTTAACTTCAAATTCCATATTATCTACTGTATAAAACAAAAGAAAATGTGATAGCTTATAAGCATTAAAATTTGTAAATAAATCATATTATTAATTAATGTTTTTTATATATAAAACAAATAAAAATAAAGCTTTTAAATATGAAACTAATTTAACGTTTTATACAATTTAATTAATTTAGTTTCTTTTGAAGTTTATAGTTTTATGTTGAAATGTAATAAAAATCCAAATTTTTAAATTAAATTTATATTTTGAACAGTTAACATTTCTTTGCTGGAATGCAGAGTGGAATACTCCAGCATTCTGAAGATTTTTTTGTTCAATTTCCGTTTTTACTAACAATTGTTGTGGTTTAAACTTGACAATCTCCATTTTTAATACAGTATACCTTTAGGCTGTGCACTTATTAACTTTTAAATGTTATTAACATTACTTACAGGCACGCTGGTACACGCAAGAGAAAATCAGTACTTTTTTCTGGTACTTTTGGAAACTGAAAACAGGGATACCACCACGACATTAACTTATAAACTTTGGAGAAGTAGTACACATAGAAGAAACCAGTCTATAGTCTAGTCTCCAGTTTGTTCTATAGTCTGGTCTATAGTTTAGTCTATTATGAAGTCTATATAGTTATGTCTATAGTTTAGTCTATATTATACTACGTAGTCTAGTCCATATTGTAGTCTATATTCTAGTATATAGTCTAAACTTTAGTCTGTATAGTTTAGTCTATATTCTGTTATATAGTCTAGTCTATACTGTAGCCTATAATGTAGTCCATATTCTATTATATAATCTAATCTATAGTCTATTCTATAGATTATTATGTAGTCTAGACTATTGTCAGTATAACTTAGTCTATTTTCTAGTCTGGTTTATATATAGTAGTCTAGTTAATAGCCTAGAGTATAGTACATATATTTAATAGTCTAGACTACAGTCTAGTCTATAGTCTAGTCTGTAGTCTAGTCTATAGTCTAGTCTATTTGTCTAGTCTATTGTCTAGTCTATTGTATAGTCTATAGTCTAATATATAGTGTAGTCTATAGTTTAGTCTATAGTCTAATCTATAATCCAGTCTATAGTCTAGTTTATAGTCTAGTCTATAATCTAGTTTATTGTATAGTCTAGTATATAGTGTAGTCTATAGTCTAGTCTATAGTGCAATCTATAGTCTTGTCTAGTCTATAGTCTAGTCTACAGTCTAGTCTATAGTCTAGTCTATAGTCTAGTCTATAGTCTAGTCTATAGTCTAGTCTACAGTCTAGTCTATAGTCTAGTCTATAGTCTAGTCTAGTCTATAGTCTAGTCTAGTCTATAGTCTAGTCTATAGTCTAGTCTAGTCTATAGTCTAGTCTAGTCTAGTCTATAGTCTAGTCTATAGTCTAGTCTATAGTCTAGTCTATAGTCTAGTCTATAGTCTAGTCTATAGTCTAGTCTAGTCTACAGTCTAGTCTAGTCTATAGTCTAGTCTATAGTCTAGTCCATAGTCTAGTCTATAGTCTAGTCTATAGTCTAGTCTATAGTCTAGTCTATAGTCTAGTATATAGTCTAGTCTATAGTCTAGTCTATAGTCTAGTCTATAGTCTAGTCTACAGTCTAGTCTATAGTCTAGTCTATAGTCTAGTCTATAGTCTAGTCTATAGTAAATTCTATAGTGTAGTCTATAGTCTAGTCTATAGTTTAGTCTATAGTCTAATATACAGTGTAGTCTATAGTCTAATATGTAGTGTGTGTAGTCTATAGTCTAGTTTATAGTCTAGTCTATAGTCTAGTTTATTGTATAGTCTAGTATATAGTGTAATCTATAGTCCTGTCTAGTCTACAGTCTAGTCTATAGTCTAGTCTACAGTCTAGTCTATAGTCTAGTCTATAGTCTAGCCTATAGTCTAGCCTATAGTCTAGTCTATAGTCTAGTCTATAGTCTAGTCTATAGTCTAGTCTATAGTCTAGTCTATAGTCTAGTCTATAGTCTAGTCTATGGTCTAGTCTATAATCTAGTCTATAGTCTAGTCTACAGTCTATTCTATAGTCTAGTCTATATTCTAGTCTATAGTATAGTCTATAGTCTAGTCAATAGTATAGTCTATAGTCCAGTCTATAGTCTAGTCTATAGTCTAGTCTATAGTCTAGTCTATAGTCTAGTCTATAGTCTAGTCTATAGTCTAGTCTATAGTCTAGTCTATAGTCTAGTCTATAGTCTAGTCTATAGTCTAGTCTATAGTCTACTCTATAGTCTTGTCTATAGTCTAGTCTATAGTCTAGTCTATAGTCTAGTCTATAGTCTAGTCTATAGTCTAGTCTATAGTCTAGTCTATAGTCTAGTCTATAGTCTAGTCTATAGTCTAGTCTATAGTCTAGTCTATAGTCTAGTCTATAGTCTAGTCTATAGTCTATTCTATACTATAGTCTAGTCTATACTATAGTCTAGTCTATACTATAATCTAGTCTATTCTATACTATAGTCTAGTCTATAGTTTAGTCAATACTATAGTGTAGTCTAGTCTATAGTTTAGTCTACAGTCTAGTATATAGTCTAATCTATAGTCTAGTTTATAGTCTAGTCTATAGTCTAGTGTATAGTATAGTCTATAGTATATTCTCTAATCTAGTCTATAGTCTAGTCTATAGTCTAGTCTATAGTCTAGTCTATAGTCTAGTCTATAGTCTAGTCTATAGTCTAGTCTATAGTCTAGTCTATTGTCTAGTCTATAGCCGAGCCTTTAGTGCAGTCTATAGTCTAGTTTATAGTCTAGTCTATAGTCTAGTCTATAGTCTAGTCTATAGTCTAGTCTATAGTCTAGTCTATAGTCTAGTCTATAGTCTAGTCTATAGTCTAGTCTAGTCTATAGTCTAGTCTATAGTCTAGCCTATAGTCTAGTCCATAGTCTGGTCTATAGTCTTGTCTATAGTCTAGTCTATAGTCTAGTCTATAGTCTAGTCTATAGTCTAGTCTATAGTCTAGTCTATAGTCTAGTCTATAGTCTAGTCTATAGTCTAGTTTATAGTCTAGGCTATAGTCTAGTCTATAGTCTAGTCTATAGTCTAGTCTATAGTCTAGTCTATAGTCTAGTCTATAGTCTAGTCTATAGTCTAGTCTATAGTCTAGTCTATAGTCTAGTCTATAGTCTAGTCTATAGTCTAGTCTATAGTCTAGTCTATAGTCTAGTCTATAGTCTAGTCTATAGTCTAGTCTATAGTCTAGTCTATAGTCTAGTCTATAGTCTAGTCTATAGTCGAGCCTATAGTGCAGTCTATAGTCTAGTTTATAGTCTAGTCTATAGTCTTGTCTATAGTCTAGTATATAGTGTAGTCTGTAGTCAAGGCTATGATATATACTAGAAATTAAACATCTGGTTGTTTTTTTGTATTTTACATTTTATTTGAAATTTTTATATAAAAATTCTTATAACTAAAAACAGTTTTGTATTTGAAAAAAATACATACATATTTTTTTGAATTTAAACAGAATTTACGAAAAAAAAATAATTATAAATTTAATAGCGGATTTTAGTTTTTAAAGAAGAATTTAATTAAAATTTAAGAGAAAAAATAAAACAGTTTACTTAAAAAAGGGACCTTTGCCATTACGAAATTAAAAAAATAATAAATTTAAATTGGAAATAAAATTTAAACAATGAATTGCAAATTTTAAAAATTACTAAACAAAATTTTATATTTTATTAATAAAAAGAAAGAAAAAAAGATTTGTGACTTATTAACTAACAAATATTTTAGTATTTTTTTTTTAATTGAAATTTTTCTTATTGCTTTTGCAAATTAAACATAAAATATTCAATGGGAATGTTGTTTTTTTTAATATTTTTAAATTTAAAAGAACAATAACATGTTTTTATGTTTTTTTTAATATATTTTTTTAATTTTTGTAAATTAATAAACTTATCGTATACAATTTTTTTTTATAATTTTTAAATTTATTTAGTTTTATTTTTTAGGCTGTTTTTTTTTTTTAAATATATAAATGCAACATTTTAAAGTGTGTTTTTTAAAAAAATTGAAAAATATGGCAAATTTAATTATTTTTGAAATATTTTGTGTTTTTGTTGGTTGGTTTTTTATTAATATTTAAGACACATTTAGAAATTTAGCCATAGATTTTCTTAAATAAAATCTATGCAAATTTATGTGTTTTTGAAAAAATATATTTATATAGTATATTTTTTATTTTAATTTTAATTAGTTAAATGTTGCTAATGTTGTTGTTTTAATTAATAAAAATTTTAATTTCTAATTGTTGCGTTTTTTATTTTTTAATTATTTTTTTTTTATAATTTTTAATAATTCTTAATATTCTCTATACATTTAATGTATTTTAGTTTACGGTGGGGCAAGTTGTTTGCAATTTCATTTTTTTTGTTTGTTTGTTGTTGTTTTAAATAATAAATTTTGTGTAAAAATAATATAAATATTCTGTTTGAAAAGACATATTCGTTTTCAATATAAATTTTTCTTAAAGAAAATAATATCTTCTAAACTTAAGGAGTTTATTTTACAGTGTTTAACAATGTTTTATGAATTTAAGAGATTTTGTTTGAAAAAAAATTGAAATTTTAATTAGAAATTTGTTGAATTTTTTTTACTTTTTTTAAATTTTGAAAAATTTTTTTCAGTTGAAATTAGAAATTTTCCAAATTTTTTGCCAAAGTTAAAAGTTTTTTTTTTGGAAATTATTTTAAATTATAAAAAATTTTAAACATTTTCTTTTTCAAATTTCAAAATTTTTTAAAATTTGTTTACAAATTTCAAATTTTTTTTAATTTTTCCCTTAAACTCAGACGTGGTTTTATAGTTTATCCCAAGAGAAGTAATTGTTTTTGAAATTTCATAAAAATTTCAAAACCTCAACTGCCGTTAGGGAAGAAATTTTCAAAAATTCCTTCCTTAGGCAAGATATGTTCAAAAACTTCTTTCTTAGAAAGGAAATTTTCAAAACTTAAATAAAATTTCAAGAAATTTTCAAAATTGAATTATAATTTCCTCCCTTAGGAAGAACTTTATTTTCAAAAATTCCTCCCTTAGAAAAGAATTCTCAAAAACTCTTCCCTTTGAGAGGAAATTTCCAATAATTCCTCTCTTAGGGAAGAAATTTTCAAAAATTTCTTCTATAGGAAGGAAATTTTCAAAACCTAAATAAAATTTCTAGAAAATTTTCAAAATTAAATTACAATTTCTTCTCTTAAGGAGAACTTTAAAACCCGAACTAAATAATTTCAGTTTTTACTGTAAAATTTACAATTGTTACAATTGTTTTTAAAACTAAAATCGAGTATTTTTGTTGTTTTTAAAGTAAGTTCGTTTGCTTTTGTTTAGATAAAAACTAAAAAAACTTAAAATTAAAATAATTTATAATTAAATAAAAAAAATATTAAAAAAATATATATATAATATATAAAAATTCAATCACAGTTGTTTTGGGCGGAATTATTAAGATATTTTAAGTAAAAAAAAATGAGTTAATAATAAAATAATAAAAAAAAACAATGAGAAATTTACAAAAATAAAAAAAAGTTCAGTTAAAAATTTCTTTAAAAAGCTAAAACTTATGTATAACACAAGTTTGCTTTTCTAGGGATGGGTGTTGTTTTTGTGTTAAATTCTAATCAAATTATTTTGTTTAATATTAAGTTTTAAATTATTTGAAATAATCTGTATTTTATACTTGAGTATTATTGCTGTGTGTGTGTGTTGTTTTTTTTTTTTTAATGAATGCATGAGTTTTTCTTTATATTTCTTCCTAAAAGTGACTAGATTTTGTTAGTTCTGTTTCTGTAGTATTGTGTTTGCTGTTGTGTTTTTTTTTATAATTATTCGGCTTTTATTTGAGGTTAGAGTTTCTTTTTGTTTTAACAAACAAATAAGTAAATTCTTTATTTACTTATTAAGTATTAGTATTTTAACATAAGTTTTATTTAGTATTTTAAACAAAATATCTGTCACAAGGAATTCAAAATTTTAATTTCTGTTTCAGTGTGTTACAGAGAGAAGTCAGTTAATAAAGTTTTTGTATACTTTAACTTGCTGTTTTGTTGCTTTAAATGAAATATTTACAAAATATCTCTTTAAGTTTTTAATATTTCTTGTACTTTTAAGGCTGGGAATGTCTTAGGGCCAATCTTTAGGTGAAAGATTAGTGATTAAATTAAAATTAATTCTCGAAAGTTGTCTTTGAGTACTCAATTAGTAAATTTTGTTTGCAAATTTAAGCGCCTTAAGCATAAAATGCAAAAGTGTAAACAGCTGATGCAAAAAAAATACAATTTTTATAAATATAAACATTAAAATGTTCTATTTATTGATTAGTATAAATTATGCACACTCAAAATACATTTTTTTGTTTTCATTAATTTTCATATTAAATTTACAATTGTCTTCTTCTTTTTATAAAACATTCATTGTTTTGATAACAAACAGTGACATTTTCTATTGTTTTGTATGGCAACACTGCGAAGTTTAATCTTGTACTCAAAAACATCAAAGGGGATAAACATCAGTTTTGTTTCTCTACAAACTATTTGAAAGTTTTCAAAAACCAATTTGGAACTGTTATTATTTTAGTAGTTTGACTGGGACCGTTATGACTTCGTTTAGTTTGAAGCGAAAATCCAATTGTCTTATTATTTTATTTTTATTTGTTAAATTCAACAAATATTAGATGTTTTGAAATAAAATTTGTTTAAATATTTCATAAATTTGTTAAAATTTTGCACAGCAAATGTTAAAAACTAGATTTTGCATAGCAAAAATAACAAACTAAATACTGGTATTAAGTAATGTTTAAAATAAATAAATGATAATATGTTTAATGAGCAATACATACAGCGGCAAACTAATTTGTTAGAACAGGTAACGGCAAACAGCTCTCTTTTACTTTCTAACAACTACATAAGGTTACATAAATGATAAAAAAACTAACTAGAGTTCTCTCTTTCTCTTTAGGTCAATGCCAGTTCTAAACAACTATTTTACCCGTTTTGCCAAAACCTTCAAGTTAAAAGCAAAACATCCAACTTAACGATTTAGGGCCAATCTTTAGGTGAAAGATTAGCGATTAAATTAAAATTAATCCTCGAAAGATGTTTTTGAGTACTCAATTAGTTAATTTTGTTTGCAAGTTTAAGCGCCCAATGGAGGTGGTTTAATCTTAAGCACGAAATGCAAAAGTGTAAACAGCTGATGCAAAAAAAATAATAAAATTTTTATAAATATAAACATTAAAATGTTCTATTTATTGATTAGTATAAATTATGGACACTTCAAAATACATTTTTTTTTTTGTTTTTAATTTAAGTTTTCATTAATTTTCATATTAAATTTACAATTGTCTTCTTCTTTTTTATAAAATATGCATTGTTTTGATAACAAACAGTGACATTTTCTGTTGTTTTGTATGGCAACACTGCGAAGTTTAATTTTGTACTCAAAAACATCAAAGGGGATTAACATAATATGTAATTTATTTTTAGATTAACTAATCTAATTATTAATTGCCATTTGATTGCCAACTCAAAAACCCGGTCTAAGAGAATCATTTAGTTAAAGAACCCTTAAACATGTATGTTATATTACCCATTCTGCCGTTAGCAGTTCTATACAAATATCTCTTTCGTTTTGTACAAAATCTTAAGTAAATCGTAACCTCGTAACACCCTTGCAAATTTCCGTCACCTTAAATTGAAAACAAAACTATATCGTCTAATCTTCCTTTAACACACCTAAAGACTCAGCTCAAAAACCCCTACTTATCAACTGACTTGCTCTCGTTTTTCACCTTTTAATTAGATAATATTTTCCTTCTTTTTTTTTAATAATTCTGGTTTAAAGTTAGTAAAAACATCTTGATAATTTCCACCACAAACATTTTTTTTTCAAAAAGTGATGAGAATTTATATTCTTTTAAACAATTTTTGTTACTCAAAATAAATCATTTTAAAATTTGTTTTTAAATTTTTTTCTTTCACGCAAAAACTTACTTTTGTAATACTGATTTTAGTTTCTGTCTGGTAATATATGTATAACCATCAATTGTAGAGTGTAATGGGGTTTCAGAGGTTTAGAGTTGACGATATTTTTTTTCTTTATATTTACTATTAACGAAAACGAATACCTTTCAATATTTATATGTTAATATTTTCACGTATTTCATTTAAAGGACGAAAATTGCTGTTTGTACTGCCACCGTTTTTTTTTCTTCTTCTTCTTCTTCAAGTGTTTGCTGGTTATGTATGAGAATTGTAGCTTTTATGATGTTTTAATATTGCTGGATCCATAACATAATTGTTGGCCTCAGCCAATTGCATGGGTAAAGGAGGCAATTTATCATTGGGATGCCGATGACTTATAGATGTTTTACGTGTTTTGGCGGCTACAGCTGAAGCTAATAGTTTGCTAGAGGATGTAGCAGATGTTGCAGCTGTTGTTGGTGTTGTTGCAGTCAAATTACCCGAAGATGTTGAGCTCATGATTGTTGTGTTGTTGCCATTATTGTGGCTTAGGCTTAAACTCGATAAAGGTAATTTATTTAAAGTATTCGAGTTAGCTGCTGCTGCTGCTGCTGTTGAATGTTGGTTGGAGAATGTGGGACTGTTGGAGGAGCTAGTACCACTCAGGGTTGTATTACCTAGTCCTGGTCTAGGTCTATTTTGATTTACCAGTACTTTTGTTTGCTTGATTAGGGAACGATCATTACAGAGTGCCGATATTAAAGGTAAATCTAAATGCTTACTTTTCTCTCTCAATAGAGCAATATCAAATTCATTGGGTGTGGGTGTGTTGTTGCTGGAAGTCGATGAACCATTAGTGTTGTTGGAATTTAATTGATTTTGTTTAGCGGCTGCCGCTGAGGCTTGTAGTTGTGCCAGTATATTGGTATTTTGTGTGGGACGTCCTAGCAGCATGTCTGTTTTGGGACGTTCCCCAGCCCATTGTGCTCCACTAGAAGTTTTGGTCATATGAATGGCTCCATTGCGTGGTACACTTAAGGTAATGGGTTTTCGTGGTGGCAAATGACTGCGTGTTGTTGTGACAATTGATTCATTTGGAATGCTTATGGAGGCACTGCTCATGTTGGGTATCGGCTTGGAAGGTACTGTAAAAATAAAGATGAAATATTAAAAAAAATATAAACAAAATTTCTTTACGTCAAGTCGCAGACTTTTAAATTGAAAACAGTTTTTATATAGTCCACTTACTAGGAGGCGGTCTTTCCGTTGGTGCCGGCATTGGTGGTTTCTTCAGTCGTCTATCCACATAGGGTGGTGGTGGAGGCGGTGGCAGACGTTTCACCTTCGGCAACGAGTCGAGCGTATTCAGAATATTATCGTCTGAACGTGATCGTGCAAATAGAGGTGCTGGTGTTGGATTAACCGCTGCAGCAGCTGCGGCTGCATGTAAATGTGCCGGATGTAGAGGCGGCGGTGGTGGTGGTTCATACGAAGAACAAATACTGGCCATTGAGGGGCTATACATGGGTGAATAGGCACTCGGCAGTTGTACATAAGAATCGGATAGATTTTGCGTGGAGGCATAACGTGAATGCGTGGAGAGCGCGAGTGGTAAATAGGGAGTGCTACGATAGATAGCATGACCTTTACAAGCTTCCCAGGCTTGAGAAGCGGCTGCATGATGGTATGCCGCTAAATAGGGATGATGATGGTGATGCGCATGGGGAGGTGGTGGTGTCTGAGCCATTGCTGCGAGTATGGAACCCTGCTTGGAATCTAGATACTCCTGTTGACTAACGGCTGGATCCTGTAGAGGATATATAACATAATCCACATCACTGTACAGCTGTTGTTGATAAAGTTCCAGTTGTTTGCGTGCCAAAGAGCTGGAATAGATACCCGCCAGTTGATTAGGTGGTGGTGGAGGCGGTTGTCTTGGCAGACTGGGTGGTGGAGGTGGTAAGTATTGCCGTGGTTTTATGACCGGCAATAAAACACACGTCCTAGGTGCTGTCTGTTTAAGCTCCGCGGGGAAGGGTGGTGGTGGCGGAGGTGGTTGCTGTTGTTGATGCAAAGAAGACATACTCTTGTGAGCGCCATGTAGGCTATAGGATACCATGGGTATACCCAAATGGTTGGATAAAACACCACCTGTGGTAACATGATGATGACCACTCATTGTTGTGTGAGACATGTTGGTCGGTTGTGTTGGAGTTGTGGGCGTGGAATTTACCGGATAATTCAAAGAGGCCTGTGACCCGGATACATAATTGGAATTAGGCACCGAATGTTGTGATAAATGGCTGGGTATATGATGACTACATATCGAACCCGTTGAGGAACCCGCCAATGAACTGTTTGTGGGCGTAGCATAGCTAGGTTTGGTATTTTCATTTACTATAAAGGTTTGAGCCTTTTGTATATTAATTTGTGGCCTGGAGGTTATGAAACGTGCTATTATCTCTTCAGACTTTAATGAAGTCATAGAACCGCCTACATTTGTGAAAACATTTGAGCCCGGCTGATTAATTGACGATGTGGAAGAAGCCACTGATATTAGAGAAGTTGGTCTGGGTTTAGAGGCGGCCGGATAAGGTGGTGGATCTCGGCGTTTGATGACCGGTGGCTGTATGGGTGGCGTGGGAGGTTTAGCTATAAGCAAAGGTTTTGCTAACGGTTTTGTATCTGTTAAAGATAATGGCACATGATTGGGAGTTGTAGATTTAATAACAGGCAAATTTAGTGGTGTATTGTTCACAGCTGGGGGACTATTGCTGGAAATAGTGGAACGTATGGGTGGACCACAAAGGCCAGTTTTATGGTGTCGGGCGTTATAGGGTGGTGGAGAACGTGTTCTAATATTAGTTAAATTAGGCATATTACTGTCTACACGTTTGGGTGGTGCCGGCGGATCTGTGGGCAGCAAATCACTTATCAAATCCTCTACATGATCTTCAGTGGGGGCGGTATCTTGATGTCCTTGTATATAAGATTCTCCGGTCATTGACAAGGGTAATGTCACGTAATCACAATCCGAGTCCAAAGTACTCGATACTGTCTTACGATTAGGATAAGAACCACGGCCCACTATTAAATCGGTTAGTTCTTCTGCTGATAGCAAAGTATGCTTCATATCAGCCGGATCACTACCATCACCACGAAAAGAATCGGTAGTACTAATATTAGAATCCGATCTCAAACGGAAATCTATATTTTTCATACGTTTGCCATGATGATAGTTGCCACCATCTACTGAATCTTGCAGTTTATTGTGCTCCAAACGTAAATGCTCCTCACTGATCTTACTCTGTGAGGGTTGGAACATGCCATAATGAGAACTTTTCTCCGACTCGGCTATTTCCGATGATTGACCCGTCATTTCACTGCTGTGCATGGTATAAACGCCAGAAGTCTCCGTGGGAGCTACCGCATGTACCAAGGTATAAACACCCGAAACACTTTCAGTTTCGTCACGTGTGGATGTTATAAAATCATGATCTATACAAGATGAATCTGGTTCGCTAAGAGTGGAATTTTGAGCCGTGTGACTAAAACCCAATTCCAAGCTGGAGGAAGTGGAATTTTTCCTTTGGTGCGAGGAGTCGGATGTATTTAAGTTTGATCTTACTGCCAAAGTAGCCAAAGAAGTGTTGTTATCATTTGTAGAAGAAGCCACTACCACCGTACTGCATGTCGAAGAACACTGCGAACCAATGTTATGTTGTGACGAAGGCGAATCCGTGGAGGAGTCCGTGTTATTACGCTGACCTTTTGAGGAGGTGGGTATAGAAGAACCGCTAGTTGAGGTGGAATTACCCGTTGAGGAGGTATTACTTAACTCTGTGGGAGAATTGCGTTGACTTTGTTGTTGTTGTCTTACCGTTAAAGCGGCTAATTGTTCTTCCAAATCCTTTAGAGACACCTGGCCCACTGACGAGGTCTGTCTACTCACACTAGGGCGATCTAATAAATGAGCCAAAGCTAAACTCTCGGTGGAGGGAGCAGCTATGGGGGCCGGTGGTGTATTAATCATTATTTCTAGCTCATCTTCCGAATGCACGCGATCACTTACTATACCCGAGGTAGTATTCGAACTAGTGCTGGATATGACCGATATTCTTTGATCGTTTTTACTTTTATATGTCGGCAGATGCAGACTACGTGAATAAACATAGCAAGCATGTAAACAATTACTCTCCTCCTCCTCACGCTTTATGACCTCCTTTAGTCGGGCCGCAATTTTCATGCTAAATTGATGGGTTTCTTTGCATAGCGTTAAAAGCATTTTATTTTTCTCATCTGAGGTGGCGTAGAGAGTGATTTTACTTTCTCCTGATCTGATTTCAAACTTTTTACGCTCAAACGATAGTTTGGTTATATTGGGCCATAGGAAAGTTATTTGCTGTTGTTGACCATCAGGTCCAGTACCAGCACCGAATATTTTTATACCCTTAGCATAGACTACAAACCAAGAATTTCCCGGTCCCAGTTCACTTTTACTCATGCGCATGCGAAAGGTGTGGGCATTAATGCATTCATGCACTAGACAGGCTTGTTGTATATAATGCAACTCGGCATCGGCTTGTGAAAGACCACGATTTTCACGATGACAAGCCCTTAAGGCACTAGCAGCCCAGGCGGTTCTTAGATGTTCTGGCAGATAGTCTTCTAAACGAAAATATTCATTACAAGAGCTGGCATTAGTGGAAACAGAAGCATTGGTAGAAGCATTACTGGGGCCACGACTTATCGAGGAAGAAGATGATGAAGGTGACAGCGGTGTTTTAGCTGCTCCTAGTACACGCTTCAAACCATCCATACCCATAACATTCTCCCGCGTCGAAGCCATATAGCTAGATAAACGTAAAACTCTTTCATTTACCAGGTTAGCACGTTTACTAATCTTTGGTAATGTGGTAGTTGCTGCTGCTGATGATGATGAAGATGATGTTGTTGCTGATACAGTTTTACCTACTTTCTGCTCTCCACCGGCAACATCCAACCCTTTGCCGCTATCACTCAAATCCCCCGATATTTTCGCCTCACTTGCGCCACCACCACTTATAATGCCACTGCCACCACTACTATTACTATTATTACTACCAATACAGGGTGCATCGCCCAGATCTGCTTGCAATGCTAGACCAGCTAATAGAATCATTGATTGTTCGGCATATTCACGGGGTATGTCACGCTGTAGGGCATTGTATTTTAATTGTAGATAATAATTGTGACGGGTAGTTTCATCTTTTAACATAAACGGGCTCTCGATGTAGAATTGCACCCGAAAATGTAATTCTAAGAGCGGTCGCCCATTGGCATCTAGACCCTGTAAAGAAAAGTAGTTGTATTAAATAAATTTCAATTTCTGGAAATAAATGGTAATGTGTTTGTTTATAGTTACATGAGTGTGTGAGGAACGCCAACTTTTTGGACCATATTTGGAGAGCTTGCTCTCGGGATCGGCAAACATGTATTCGCCATCTGTAATGAAAGAGAGAGAAAGAAAATAAAATATTAATTACTATATTGTTTGATCACGAAGGGTTTGCGGAAATCATCTAATAGCGCCTCTTTTACATTGCAAAATAGTAATATGTATAGTATTTTGGCTGATCCTAGAACTTCACTAGACCTGTCTAGAGTTCAGATCTAGTTCCAGTTCAGTTCTAGTTCAGTTCTAATTCAGTTCTACTTCAGTTCTAGTTCAGTTCTAATTCAGTTCTAGTACAGTTCTAGTTCAGTTCTAGTTCAGTTCTAGTTCAGTTCTAGTTCAGTTCTAGTTCAGTTCTAGTTCAATTCTAGTTCAGTTCTAGTTCAGTTCTAGTTCAGTTCTAGTTCAGTTCTAGTTCAGTTCTAGTTCAGTTCTAGTTCAGTTCAAGTTCAGTTCAGTTCTAGTTCAGTTTTAGTTCAGTTTTAGTTCAATTTTAGTTCAGTTCTAGTTCAGTTCTAGTTCAGTTCTAGTTCAGTTCTAGTTCAATTCTAGTTCAGTTCTAGTTCAGTTCTAGTTCAGTTCTAGTTCAGTTCTAGTTCAGTTCTAGTTCAGTTCTAGTTCAGTTCTAGTTCAGTTCTTTAGTTCAGTTCTAGTTCAGTTCTAGTTCAGTTCTAGTTCAGTTCTAGTTCAGTTCTAGTTCAGTTCTAGTTCAGTTCTAGTTCAGTTCTAGTTCAGTTCTAGTTCAGTTCTAGTTCAGTTCTAGTTAAGTTCTAGTTCAGTTCTAGTTCAGTTCTAGTTCAGTTCTAGTTCAGTTCTAGTTCAGTTCTAGTTCAGTTCTAGTTTAGTTCTAGTTCAGTTCTAGTTCAGTTCTAGTTCAGTTCTAGTTCAGTTCTAGTTCAGCTCTAGTTCAGTTCTAGTTCAGTTCTAGTTCAGTTCTAGTTCAGTTCTAGTTCAGTTCTAGTTCAGTTTTAGTTCAGTTCTAGTTCAGTTCTAGTTCAGTTCTAGTTCAGTTCTAGTTTAGTTCTAGTTCAGTTCTAGTTCAGTTCTAGTTCAGTTCTAGTTCAGTTCTAGTTCAGTACTAGTTCAGTTCTAGTTCAGTTCTAGTTCAGTTCTAGTTCTAGTTCAGTTCAGTTCCAGTTCCAGTTCTAGTTCTAGTTCAGTTCTAGTTCAGTTCTAGTTCAGTTCTAGTTCAGTTCTAGTTCAATTCTAGTTCAGTTCTAGTTCAGTTCTAGTTCAGTTCTAGTTCAGTTCTAGTTCAGTTCTAGTTCAGTTCTAGTTCAGTTCTAGTTCAGTTCTAGTTCAGTTCTAGTTCAGTTCTAGTTCAGTTCAGTTCTAGTCCAGTCCTAGTTTAGTTATAGTTCTAATGACTACTCATGGCTATAGGCTGAACTATAGACTGGTCTATAGTCAAGACTATGGTCTAGTCTATAGACCGATTTATAGTCAAGTCTATGAACTGGTTTGTAATCAACTTTATAGACTGGTTTATAGTGGACTATAGTCAAGTGAAGTCATGTCTATAGACAAGTCTACTATCAATTCAATATTCTTTTGTATAAAGTTAGATTGTTCGCTTTCCTTCTCCTATCCATCTAAACTTGAACCGACCCTGAAAAATTATTCAAACTTTTAAATCTTCAAGGTCATGTTGTAGTATATATTCCATCGTAATGTTCTGTTTTCTGACTTCTTTTTTAAGGAATTTTAAGAACATTAAGACACAAAACAACAAAACAAAACATTTTTTCAGGCTCCAACAATCTATGTACAATGTGTTTTTTATTATGTATATGACCCAAACCAGACAGAAAACTAATCAGACTTTTAAATTAAAACTTTTATTTTTTTCTTTCATTTTCGGGTTATAATTTGATGGCATGAAATTTCCGGCCAAGAAAATCAAATAAAAATCCTATAATACAACAACAATAAATAAATGAAAGAATGAAAATGGGAGAAAAAAAAACATAAAATAACAATCATTCCAAACAACAACACCTTATGTCATTTTGACAGAATGACAGACACACACATACCAGCCAGGCGAGCAGGCAAAACACTGACAGACGATCATACATTTAGTTTTGAAAGACACAATATATAAATAAAACACTAAACTTTTGGATCAAGGAATACGAAAACTACAACAACAATAACAGCAGCAGAAACAGCAATAAGAAAATGACATAAGCACTGTCAGAGCCAGGCTCTTCAAATCTATAAAGATTGAAAACATTTTTTGTTATTTTTTTTCTTTTCTGTTACAGAATACAAGGTGGGTTTTTGTTAAAATGTCAGTTTTAAATTGTATGGAAAAAATTTTTTAAACATAATTTTCTGTTAACGAAAATTAAAACAAAAAAGCAATAACAACAACTACAAAAACACACATTCATTCACTCCCAACCATAATTTTTAATACAACCTGTGTGTACGTACATACATACCTAAGTCCATAGTATTCCATTCTATAACACAGTATGTATCGTTTTTTTTTTGTTTTTGTTTTTTTGGTAACACAAACATGATCAATTTAAACAAAAACAACAAAAATCTTAAAGAGATGAAAAAAAAAAAATTAACAAGAGATAAAAATCTCAAGGGCATGACCGTTAATGTTTAAGCTTTTAAATTCGAACTACAACAACTACAGCAACAATTAAACAACAACAAAAATCAGCTTAATGTTAACTGAAGATACTTGATAATATTACAAATTTAAATTAAAATACAAATGCCTGTTTGTGTTGTTGTTGTTGGTTTTTCATTTAAAAATATTATCAATGTTTGAACTGAAACTGTTCGGGGAGATTTTAACATGAATAACGAACGCCCTGAATGTTTAATTAATTTAAATTTTATTTGATCAACAATCTATAAATCGTAATTTCTTAAAATTTATTTTATTATGATTATTTCTTTCAGTGTTTTACACGATTTTTATTATATTGTTTTATTTAATATTTGTTTCTAATGATTCAGTTACTTTTTTTTAGTATTTAAGAGACATTTTTAAATGATAACTGAAATTGTCATTTAATAACTATGTCCGGTACTAGACTGATATTTATGTAATAAATGACTCATTTCAAACTTATTTGTTAAGAGATTAACCGATTTTTAAAGCATTTCCATGACTAAGTTTATTCAGATCATTTATTATTAAAACACATTTCAAAAAATATCCAACTATTCAAATTCTTCAAATAAGTTCTATAGGGAGTGAAATCCTAATCCAAAGTTTTTCAAAACTAAAAGGAGAAATTTAGAAGGTTTGAGTTAAAATTGTTTTAAAATCAAAGTAGTGCAGAATTTCTTGCACTATTTTGTTATTTAATTTGAAATATTGATTTCAATTTTTAAAATTTTAAGTCTTAAACTTAATTTAAACAAGTTTAACTAAACTCTCTTCAACTAAGTTTAACTAATTTTTCACATGTATTAATATTTATTTTTAATTTAAAGCATTAACTTTTAAATTTTTATGTTTGTATGACTTAAACTCAGAAAAACCTAGTTTAACTAAACTTGCTTTAAGCAAGTTTAACTAATTTTTCAAATACTCTAATATGTATTTTTAATTTAAAATATTAACTAATGATTTTTTATGTTTCTATGACTTAAACTTACAAAAACCTAGTTTAACTAAACTTGCTTTAAGCAAGTTTAACTAATTTTCAAAATATAATAGTATGTATTTTTAATTTAAAGCATTAACTTTTGATTTTTTTCTGTTTCTATGAATTAGGGCGGGTTTCTTACTACTCAGTTAAACTAGGCTTAACTTGCTGTTAGATTAAACTCGGAACAAATTTAGGCGGACGTTAAACGATGATTGTGTTTTTCAGTTATGGTTTTAAGTTCAGTTAACTTTGTTAGTGTTGCCAACTTTTCACTCAAAAACATAAACAATGAACAACTGTTTTTTGCAAATAATACTTTTGTAAAATGAAAAATTTTGGAAAAATGTTAAATAAACATTTAAAACAGTAAAAAACAAATCAGAAAATTGCAATTTACTTAAAATATTATGTTTTTGTTCTTCCGAAATCATTGTTTATTGTTTTTGTTCATTGTGTCTTCTCACTTATAACTTAAGTTTAATTGGCCAATAACACTCAGTTAAACTAAGATAATAAGTAACGTTACTGTTTACTGAAACACTTAAACACAAAACATATATTGAACTAGGTTTAAACAAAGAATGTAGATTATCTTTATCTGAAAAACCCGCCCTTAAACTCACTAAAACCTAGTTTAACTAAACTTGGTTAAGGGAAGTTTAACGAGATTTTATAACATTTTAGTATATATTTTTAATTTAAAATAGTAACTATTGATATTTTATGAGTGTATGACTTAAAATCACAAAAACCTAGTTTAATTAAACTTGGTTAAGGGAAGTTTAACGAGATTTTATAATATTTTAGTATATATTTTTAATTTAAAATAGTAACTATTGATATTTTCTGTTTTTATGGCTTAAACTCACAAAAACCTAGTTTAACTAAACTCTCTTTAAGCAAGTTTAACTAATTTTTTAAATATTTTAGGAATTATTTTTAATTTAAGATATCACATATTGGTTTTTTATGTTTGTATGACTTAAACTTACAAAAACCTAGTTTAACTAAACTCGCCTAAGTAAAGTTTAACTAAAAAATTTTGCATTTTCTGCAATGTTTTTAAAAGTTTAAAACAAATTTAGCAAAATTTTTAAAATTGTTATTATATTTTTATAGGTGTAGTGTCATTTAAACGTCGCCTTTTACTTAATTAACATTTTAATAATTATTTTCTTTAAAATACGTGTATTTTTTAAAAAAATGTCTGCATATAAAATGAGTTATTCGAAAAAAAAAACAAAACAATATTTATTAAAATTCGTGCAACAGCCTCCAAAATAAATGTAGCATCTTGAAAAAAAAACACTTAAAATAAAAGCAGCTGCATAAAAGTCTCATAAATACTTGGACTGGTTGGTATGTTAAGAGAGTCATCTTCAATGCCTTTTTTTCCAATATAAAAAATCAACAACAAAAAAACACCA